GAGGTCTCTCCCGCCCCATGACAAATGCCAGCTTTATTTACGTACAAAACTGGTGATTCTGGCCATAGCCTGTAGGGTATCTGGAGCTCTGTCCAATCCCCAGACTCCAATATCAGACCCTAGGGATGTGTCAAAGTAACAGAGGTGCAGTAGCTGTGTATTTCTTCAATAATGTGCATGCAAACTTTGAGGAACAGCTGAAAGTATTAAGAAGGAAAAACAAAGCAAGGATGGTTGGACTTAATGATCTGGGAGGCCTTTTCCAACAAAAATGATTCTATGAAATGAGGGAAGATGAAGTGGAGTGAAATGAATCCTCCTTTAGATTTCTGAGGGCAGAGAAAGCAGTGTTATATTTGAAATCGGGTACAGAGAGAAAAAGAGAAGCACATAGGATTAGCTATAAATTTCACAGTTATTCTGAGCTGTTGATCTATGCCTCCTCCCTCTGTCTTAAGAGGTTTAAGTAGTATTCTGAAAGACAGGGGGTGGGAAAGGAAGGTAGCTTAATGACCTAAGCCCTAGGTTTGAAATACCTGGACCATCTATATCTGTGCACTTATTAATCCTGATAAACCATTTGAGCTATTCTCCCGGTCTCAGGTTGAGTTCAGAGATTTTTCAGGAGCAAATTTTGGAAAAAAGGCACTGCTTATTTTGTATAGACTCTTGTTAGAGTCCTTCAAGTAAGACGATGAGGTCACTCACCAGAGGGTTTTGCAGGGACAGAAACTGTCCCTTTCCACATGTGTAGCCACCGTGTGTGGTGGGACATGGCTGACTATCCCTGTAGCATTGTCACTGTCAGGAAGTCAGTCAGGTAAGAGCTAGGCAGCCAAAACACCAAGTTGGGATCACTCTGGCGCAAGCTTTCATAACCGTGCTGTTTCATATCAGCTACGTATTCATAGCTGACAAGTCAATTATTTTTAATCTCTATAGTTCATAGTCATAGTCATAAGAGTTTTTTAAGGATCTGTGAAGATTAGCAATGCTATTCTGGGAATGGAAGGGTAATGCCCTCCTACAGATCCAGGGCTGGGGTATTAATGGCCGTCATGTAACACGACGATGTCTCATGGTCTGGCTTTGTCCTCAGAGGACACACAACTCTGTCCTCACCCAATAATGGTGAACAACCTCCAGCAACAGCATGTAGACTGACATTCCAAAGCAAAAACCTCTCATAAAATGATAAAATTGAATTCCTTTCTCCTCAGGAGATCCAGTAACTAATGAAAAACTGAAATAGGCCCTGGACCCCAGGCAGCGGCAGTCAGAGCCAGTGGTGCCCTCAGAGTCCTGAGGACCAATTTCACATCATCAGTAAACTTTCCTGTCATTTTTGGAGCCTCCCTTTGTCTTTGTTGTGTGAATCAAACTGTTCCAAGTGGCTTAAAAAAACCACTCATCAGTGAAAGCAAAACAAGTTACAAAAGCGCAGTATCAAAGGGTACAAACACATGCATAACTCTGATGCATCCTTGAAGCTTCTAGTTCATTCAGTCAAGATGTTAAAAGACTAAAAAGAGATCTATGTTTTTATTAGGCCTACTATGCATAGAAGAAAGTCCAGAAGAAGTTTTGAACCCATTTTTATTTTTCTCTCTCCACCCCACTCCTCAGAACTGCATTGAGAGATCTCTGTCCCTCTATTTTAACCATACTCAGAGGGGCACCTGACCCCATCTACCTCTGCCCATTCAGGCAGGGGAGGGTGCAGGATTTCACCATCCTTACAGATGCCCATGGGATCCCAGTGGGATGTGCTGCAGACAAGGAAAGCAGGGCCAGCACCACCCAGACACTGATAAGAAGCCCACACACAGAATAAATGCATCCATCATCCAAGTCTGTTCTGTATCCTAAGCTGCTGAACAAGCAGATTTAACTCCATTTAATAAAAATATTACAAATTTGCCCTTTGAGACAATAACAGGGTAAAGCATCAAAAGTAAATTATTTATATAATCCACCACTGGTAATCAGTCCTGCTTATTATGTTGTTGGGATTGTTTTTAAATTTTATTTTCTTACTATTTATTTTATTATTTTTACAGTAGCCCTTTCCTTGTGAATTAATGACCTCCTAACGAGCAACAGATACTTTACTGTGCATGCTGCACATAGTGATGTTTTACAGAGCCCAGAGATACATAAGGACCTACCTGGATACTTGTATTGTGAATGATTATAGAGCAGCGGATAGGTAAATCAGCACAGCAGTATTGTTTTAATAACATCATAACACATTTATTGCATTATTTGTTGTACTCACAGAACCACAGGATGGTCTTCACAGGTTACTGTTATGATTTTTTCATTATTTAATAAGCTATTTTGAGATGTTACTGTAAAAAGTACAGTATTTATCTGAGAAAACTCTGTATACGTGCAACAAGATCGCTATTCTTTTGCATCTCATAAATGTTTCCTTTTCTACCTACAGTGTATGTTTTTTAGTGTAGAAAGGAAAACCAGTTCATTTCTCATCAATGCTTTTATGCAATGCTTCTGGTTCCACATCATGTAGACAATCATTCCTACCTTCTCAGTATTTCTATTCCTGGTGGACTGACTGCTGCTTAACATGTTGCTGGCGGTCTTAGCACAACTACAAAATGTGACTGGGGCTTTTTTGGCAACTACCATTTCTCTCAGGTGTTTTTCAGAGGTGAGAGTTTTTTGACCTTGCCCTTCAGTCCCTTCTTGTTTGGGACAGGCCATATGATCCACCAGATCAGAATTACATGCCCAAACACATTAAGCTGATTCTTACATTGTCCAAATTTCTGATGTTTTGACAGGACAACAATAGTGACACCAAGATGTAGAAAGAAGGCAAACAAAATAATATTTTCAAAAAACCCAGGTGAAATGTAAGGGAGAAAGAACAAAATTAATCTAGTCTCAGACATTCAGCAATCCTAAAATTAATCTGTAGTTTCAATAAGCAGTATGAAATGCAATAAAAAAGCAGCAATGTGAAATGCATCTAACCATATTCTTAATAGATACATCAAATCAGATGATGGAAATGTAATCAGCAAATTACATTTTGTCCTCCAGCAAAATACTTTATGAGATCCTTCTTGAAATAATACTTGCAAAAATTGAAATTCAAGCCGGTCTGCCAAAAAGAAGCATAAAGTTTGTGGTGCATGATATGTCATGTTTGGTAAAGCATCTGCTTTTTATACTAGGCCTAATTTTGTTTGAAAATTACATGCAGTTACTGTCAAATTTCATTTAATCCCAAACAGTGGTTGAATGGTGTCTTTGCCTTTGCTGTGTTTGCTGTGATTGCTATTAGCGTAAAACCAGCAACCACAACAGAACCTGCAGAGAGTCTGTGAAGCAACAGTCAGTCTGCACAAGTTATGCACACAGCATTTCTGCATGTACACTGAATCCAGTGTGTTTGAATACATTAGATTTATCTCTGAGGTGCCACTCTGCCAACAGCCTTGCACAGAAATCCAAACAAGCACTACAAGGTGCTGCTAGGAGTTCTGACGCAGATCAGCATCATGTGGTCACAACTCTGAGGAATCTAAAAAGAGAATGAAGAAGAGAAAAAAGAGGATGGACCCCTATTTTAAAAATTTATTCAGCCTTTGAGAACTCACATTCACTAGGCAGACAGATGTGTGGGGACAGGTTTTGGTTTGTTCTCAACTGAAGGTAGACAGCAGAGCTCTCAATCTCAGTATCTTTTAGTCCTTGTAAATTCCTGCTTGTTGACATTTTTTGCATGCTTTTGTGTTTCGTTCCTTGTCACCAGAATATACTGATAGTGCCTGGAGATCTTCAAAAGACATGTCAGATGTGGCATTTAGGGACACAGCTTAGTGATGGATTTGGAAGTGCTGAGTTAACTGTTGGACCTGATGATCTTAAGGGTCTTTTCCAACCTCAGTGAGTCTAGGATTCTCATTATGGCAGTAAGTCACACTGCAACCTTACAGGACTTCTCTGCCTTCAGACTGAGGATACATTAATGCCTGGTGATTGCAAAACCTCAACGGGCAAGATGTGTGTTGATATATGACAATAAAAATAAGCAACATGCTTAACCTACTAGATACTCATCCAACCTTCTCTTTTCAGTCATAGGCCTCTGAAACTGATTACCGTCTTTCCAAGGTTTTCCAAGCAACTGGATTCTGACCAACATAAAGATCACAAGACTAAATTTGCCAGCTGTTAATTCCTTTATGTGCACATGGAAAACAGTTGGAGCGAGTACTATCCAAATTCAGCAACTGTTTCTTCCATCCTAACCACATTTTTACAGAAACAGGAGAACCTGACTGTAGAGGCCTGTCCTTGACAGCTTCAGAGAAGGAGTCAGAATTAAATCAACCTGAAATGCTCTTTACCTAAGAATATCCCCAATCCTCAGTATTTAGAGCCTAGTTTATGATTTGAAGGCTTTATATCCCGTGCAAAATGTATTCATCTGAGAGACCTGATGTTTATATGGATAAACCACAGTACATGGGGTTCATGCCAGATTATTATTATTACATGATCTCTCAGATGAAAAACACCTGGGACAGCTCTGTTGTACTGGAAAGCATAGGTAGTTCTGCAGTATGGATGTAAACGACTCTGCTGTACATAGTTCATTAGTACCAAACCAGATATCCCAGACTCCTCTTTTTCCCATGTTGCAGTTTCCCACAAAACCGTTTTTTTTCTTTTCTTCTCAAAACCTGTCAATAACAATTGCTCAGAACAGATTTACCCCTTGCCTACACTGCCCCCAGCTTTTAGGGGAGAACAAAACTGTCTTTGCTAACACCTCTTCCTATAGATCTTCCACTTGAGTGTATCCTTTTTTAATACCACAGGAGATTTCTATCTTAAGGTGCTTCATAAATCAGTGTGTATTGTAGTGAATTTGATGACCTGTTTCTGTGCAATTGCCAGAATGAACTGAAAACCAGCATTATTAAATAGGTGTTTGGGGTTTTTTTTCTCTCTCTCTCTCTTAGGATGGATTTATAGACTTCTTGGAGTTCATAGCTGCAATAAATTTGGTTATACGAGGGAAAATTGACCAAAAATTGAAATGGTATTTCAAGCTATACGATGCTGATGGAAACGGATGTATTGACAAAAAAGAACTACTAAGCATATTCTCGGTAAGCAAGTTATGACCAATAGCAAGAACATTTGACATAGTGCATTGCCCCTGAAACAATGGTTCCTCATGTCCTGTAAATGGATTGTCTGTACTTTACCTAATGTTTTACAGTTCTAAAACCAGAATTTACAGTGGCTAGTGACACTCCTGCCATTAGTTTCTTCCCTATTGAGCATATCTAAATAGTATTTTACTCTAAGCAATAGTTCTACAGATAAAATACTTAAAGTGAAAAACTGTAGAAACTAGAGGCATTACTGTGATAAACTATACTATAAGGCAGGGTAGAACTGTAGCAGCATAATGAATAAAACAGATGGTTACAAGTGTATGTGCCAGTCCATTGTGGAAAACTGACTTCTCAAAGTGAGCTCGCTGCAAGAAAAATATAGATGTCAACAAAATATTGCAATATTTTAATTCTTTGAAAGGCCTTTAGATTTGTGTACTACAACTGCCATTACCCCTATTTTAAAACTTAATCAGAGAAATATAATTTTACTATTAAATCACATAGTGACAGTGGGATAAAAATATTGTCAAAATGTTGCAGAAAATGGGTCCACTTCAAACACACAAAAGCAAAGCAGTGCAATTCTTTCTTTAAAATTATTTCTGTATTTTTCACTTGCTCTAGTGAAATAATATTTTGAACTGCAGTAGCTGCTTTCATCCAAAAGGTATGTTAGGGTTCCTTGCAAATACGTATGGCTTAATACTGCTCCCTAAATGCACAGGACTCATTACAGAGCAAAGTAACAACATAAACAAGGAAAGTACTTTTCCTGGAATTACAATAAATGTCAGTAAAAAAGGCCTTGTCCAAAAAGATACGTCATATCTGAGACATTAATTTAGAATCGCAGAACTCCTATTAAAACTTCATCTGTCTCTACAGCTATGCAAACTTTGAACCAACAAATCATTATCAAAACTCCTTCCAGATAACCATGCACCCTTTCAATGCCCAGTTATTTTGTTTAACTATTTAAGGTGACAGTGGTAGACAGTGACTCAGATACTTCAGGAACCACTGCTTTACTCTTAGCACTACAATAAATTTACTTCTGTGGCAGAAGTACAACTTTATTCTGAAGACTGTAGCAGAGTCAGACATATAAAACACCAAAAGTATCTAAAGTATGAATTAGTAATACAAATAAGTTTATGTACCCATTTTTGCAAAAATTCTCGTTTCCTTTTGAAATGGACAGGAATTTTGGGCACTTTGGGGGTTGGTATTTTTATGGTCTTATTTGATGTATTAAGGTTACTGTTTTTAAAAAGCTGTAAAGTAAAATAAAGACAGTGACAGTCAAGAATTTCACATCAGTGCTGAATAGGTTTAACTTACATTTTATTTAAATACAATGATTTCTAATATAATATCAGAAATACCAAAAGAAACAACTGGCACATACAGTGAATTTTCTTACACAACACAGTTCACCTCAAGATAATTCAAGTGTAGAAAAACAAATTCTACAGTATGCCCATTATAGAACATATATGCATGTTTATATATGCACATATTTTCCCAGTCAATTACTAATTGGGATATTGAGTTTGAATCTAACTCTGTAAACACATCCTTGTTGCATCTGAACCACTGGATGTTAACGTGGAGGCTCCTATTTTATTAACCCGAATGATCACCACAGTGTAAAAATTACCATCTCAGTGAATGGGATACAATTTTTCAAAAACATTAATTTATACCTTTACTCCAAATATTGAGTCCTTTTCCTACAGAAAAACAAACAAAAGAAAAAAAAACACAAAAGAAAACAAACAAACAAAAAACCAACAACAACCAAAAAAACAAACTAGAGGGGATACTTTTGGTTTTCTTAACTTCTTTGGAGGTCAAGTGCATTTTGCCAACTTCCAGGACTGCTGGTCTGACTTTGTTAGTGATTACTAAGTTAAACATGTCTTAATAGAAAAATAGCTTAGGCTTTCTCTGCATGTGCATTCAGCTGTGAAAAACAGTACTGTATTTAAATCACATAGACCATAGGGCACTTTGAAGACACAGAACTCTCTAGGGCCAGTTAAAAATGCTGGTGTGGAATCTAAAGTGTATTACAGAGCAGAGGTGCCACATGGTTCTTCAGACTTTCAGAGATATGTAAATTAGTTTGCAATCTTCAGGCTGTGTTATGTTAATTAAATTGCAATCCTCATTACTGAAGATTTACTTGAAATAGCTATTTATTTAGTGATTTTTTGAAAGGGTCTGGGAACTAAAGAGTTGCATTGCAATTACTGGTGCTGCCAGTGTATTGTTTTTACAACTTGATGGAAAAAACTCTGAAAGAATTTTCTGTGTTTCTGCCCTCAGGCTATCCAGGCTATAAATGGCTACACCAACATGAGTGCTGAAGAGTTCACAAACATGGTATTTCAGAAGATAGATGTGAACAATGATGGTAAGAATCTAGGTTTTGTTGGCACTGGCAGGGACTTTCCTCTGGAAGAGAGGGAGTTGCACACACTACTGAAGAACTGACTGTTTTAGATTAACTGAAAGCCAAAACTCTTTTTTACCCATATTATTTCAGCTTTACCCCAAATTATTTCAGCTTTACAGTGAAGTGTAAATCAGTGACATAGGAATTACATGCAGTAGGTGCTAAAGCACAGAGGTCTTGCACTGTTCACCAAAAATGCCAGTTCTCTGGTTGCACAGCAAAATGAAAGTGTGATTGAGGGGTTTTTTTAGTGTATTTGCATTGGCTTAATCTATCTAAAATAGTTAAAAAAAATACAAATAAGATGCATGGTTGTATATGCTCTAGCATGTTCTAAGGATTGGACAGCATATTGGATGTCCCTTGAAGGCTGACTGTTAACACATGCTAAAACACATGCTACTGTTTTTTTCCTCAAGATAGCTAGATTAAGCCAATTGGACTTGCATTTGTAAACTAAGACTTCAGTTCACTGCTTCAGAGTTGTTTCTAACAGAAAACTTCTCACATGTGAATATCTCCCCTCAAACTTCTAATCTTGAAGATCCTCCTTCCACTGACAATTACATTTTACATCAATTGCTGCAATCACTGACAAACTAGGAATATTAGGAAAGCATTACAGAACAAAGTGAAGTCACAGACAGGAATTTTTGGCATTTTGGGGGGATATTTCTATGGTCTTATTTGGTGTATGAATGTTACTTTTTTTAAAAGCTGTTTACAATATACAGAGTATAAACAGTGATCTTGTGGTACATATGGAGGATGCACTAGCAGACAATTTTTTTCCCCCATCTCCTTGGCCCATTCTTTGGGTGAAGACAAATTACAAAAGGACTCCAAATAACACAGTCAGGATCTAGCATCTAAACCCAAATTCCATGATTATTCTCCAATTTGACTAGATATTTACTACAAGTAACAATTGTATCTGAGCTAAAACATCAGCTGGAAAAATAATTTTGTGTCATACATTTTAGCAAGGAAAAGCCAGAACATGATTTATTGAGAATTATCTTCATAACAATTCCCTTTCAAACTGTTTTCCATAGTTTGTTAGTGTTTTAATTGCTGCAAAGCAACAGGACTAGCTCCACCTGAGGAACGGGCCGAGTTTTACCAAGTTTAGCTTCAACTACGCTGCCTCTCTGTAGCTTCTTATTAAAGAAACGTGCAAACAGACAAGTAAGTTGCAATGTCCTTCCTTACATGAAACAACAATAAATAATCCCATGGTTGTAAAGAACAATTCTTAGAACAGACCTCCTGTTGGTTTTGCAATTTATTTTCATTAGCTCGAGGAAATCTGAGGCCCATCACGGCAGCAGCGAGCCTGGGCCTGCCAGTGTAGCCACATCTCACTGGCAACTGCAGTGCGGTTTGTGCTCTTGTGCGCTGCTGGTGGTGCTTGGAAATGTGCAGCCTGGGAACAGAAGGAAGGAATTCAAGACCAGTTGACCTGAATAAACATGAAAATGATGCCACATGTCCATGTGATGAGTCCAGGAGCACCATCCACCCAAAGACCTCAGTCAGAGGCAACACAGAGGGAAGGGGAGGGGAACGGAAAGGAATGCCTGGGATATGAGTTCAGCAGAAGTGAGAGGATGAGTGGCAAAGCAAGGGATGCATATAAGCATACAGAGATGGCTTGTTTTGTCTCTGCTTCTGGAATGATTATGTAAGGGGACTGCTATTGAAAGAAGCAGCACAGACAATCTCAGGGCACTGTATGCCAGCCCCTAGACAGGGTCTTAGTACTTTCACTGAAGCCTAAGAGACAGGACTTCTGTCAAATTATGTCCTTCCTCTTTATATGAGCCTGTCACTGGTGTAGCAAGGACACATGTGACTAAACAGAAAGCAGCCTTTACTGACTATGGGTAGAAAGTTGTTTTCACATTTTTCAAATGCTGATCGTTTTCCTTTTTCACATCAAGTGAAGTTTCCAAGGCTGCCATAGACAGAAACAAAACCACCAAAAAAATCCCTACAGGTAGTACTAAAACCTGAAAAGAGCCAAAAGTCAGCCAGCTAAGCATTCACCAGACATGTACATGACCTGAATTCCTGCTCCCCTGCACCCTGGGGCCCTAACTTATCCAGCTATTTTCCTTTGCTGGCCTTTTGTCATTTCTTATTTTAATGAGAAATCATTCATTGTTGTGAATTTCACAAGAAACTTTAAATCATTCTCAGAGGAAAGATTCAAGCCTTTCTTATTAAACCAAGCTTTGTTTTTCCTTCTCAAAGTAAAACAGTATTCTGATTTTTCAGTAGAAGAGATTTTAAAGTTGTCTTGCACCTTCTAAGTTATTAGCTGATTTTGACATGAGCCCAAAAGATCACACTCTAAATGACCATTTCAGTTCCCTGGAAGAATTTATCCAATCAAACCACTTAGCCAGTTTTTTTTAGTATATCCGATCATGGCTCTACATAATCCTAGTAGTCAACACAGGTACTATGCCTAGTAATCCTCAGCAAATCACACTCTAATCTCTGTTAAAACCAGCTATAGGATAAATTCCAGTTAGCTCACTGAGAATTGGTCCATAAATCTAAATTCAGCCTCGATACAGGCTTCATTAGTGCCCTGTTACACACATTTATGAGCACTTACAATTGTCTCAGACTTCAGTGAAAGTTGTGTTTGACCTGTTTTAACATAAAAAAAAGTGACTCTGAGTTCTAGGATCTGACTGATGCAAAGTAGGAAAACATTATCAAATGCTCTTCCTGCATTTGCCTATCAGCAGAGAACAGAAACCTTCCTAAGGGACTCAGTCTGGCATGAGTGGCCTTGTGTTGGATGGACAATGATTGCTGGGTTTCTTAGTTCCTAAGGAGTATTTTCTTTCTTTTAGGGGAACTGACTTTGGAAGAGTTTATCAACGGTGTGGAAAGCGATGAGGATCTAATGGAATTGATTTCGAAAAGTTTTGACCTTTCCAACGTACTCAAAGTCATACAGAACGGCAGGAGGAACAGCGTCTGAAGGATCCAGTGACAGATGTGGCCTTTGTGTCATCATTTCAAGGAAGATAATATTTGATATATTCAGAGAGCTTGATGTTGTTAAATCCTGCTCGGGCAATAGCGAGCAGCCTGCTCCAGGAGTAACAATTTTCACTCTTCATATATCTCCTTTTTTTTCTTTATTCTTTTCCTTGCTCATGACTGTGGCAGCCACACAGAAAAAAACCAGCTTCAGCTGCCTATAATAGAAAAGGTATTTGATGCAGTAAAAGTAACTTACTTGGTCTCTATGAGCATGTTGTCATTAAACCTCAGACAGCAATTAAGCACCACCCAGCTGGGGGCTCACTGCACTCCAGTGGGACGGGGAAGAGTGAAAGTGCAAAAACTTGTGGGCTGAGATAAAGACAATTTAAAAGGTGAAGAAAAAGCTGTGCACTCAAGCAAAGCAGAACAAGGACTTAATTCACCTCTCCCCATGGGCAGGCAAGTGTTTAGCCAGCTCCAGGAAAGCATGGATCCATCAAGCATAATGGTGACTTGGGAAGACAAATGCTATCACTCTGAACATTCCCTCCCTTGCTTCTTCTTCCCCAGCTGTATATGCTGAGCATGACACCATATGGTGTCAGATATCCTTGTGGTCAGCTGGGGTCAGCTGTCCCAGCTGTGTCCCCTCACAGCTTCTTGTGCACCCCGAGCCTTCTCACTGGTGGGGTGAGAGGCAGAAAAAGACTTGATGCTATGCAAGCACTTCTCAGCAGTAATGAAAACATCTTTGTGTTATCAATGTTGTTTTGGTCACAAATCCAAAACACAGCCTCATACCAGCTACTATGAAGAAAATTACCTCTATCCAAGCTGAAACCAGCACATTCTCTTCTGTTCACATAAATCAATAAAATAATAAAAATAATACAAAATGCAACCTTTCTAGATGACACAGAGTTAATAAATTTCTTCTTTTAATTCTGGGTTTTTTAACCCTACTACCTAAAGGGTGGACACAAACTTCTAGGTAGGACTGGGTTCTATCTAGATCAATTAAGAGCAAAGCCTACTTTGTATTAATCTAACATTTGCTCTAATCAGTACTTAAAATTGGATTACAGTCTCTGGGAAACGCCTCAGTCAGCTTAATATTCCCAAGATGTGTATCATCCTTAACAAGCCTACAACTCTTGATTTTATTACATCCGTAAATTAAAATAATGTGATATTTTGATGTTTCTTTCAGGGTTCAGTTACTGTTCTTTCAAGTTAACCTTTTATAAAAGTGCTGGAATTAAATTTTTTATCTTTCTAGAGCAAAATTAGAAGTTCAAAGAATAGCTAAAACCCAAATCATTTTGCAAGCACTCCAAGAGATTTGTGTCCTTTGACTTGTATGTCCTCCTTTGCAAAACAATTTGTTTTCACTGGCCTCACCCCTGATTATGACACTGCTAGCTTCTCCAAAACAGACAGCCTTTCCCTGACAGGGAGTACTAATTTAAGTATCTTTGTCCTGCACAGATACCTGGGTGAAAGCTTTTAACAATTGAGTTTCTTTGAGATTTTACCTCCTTTCAAACTGGGTTGCAATTGTCTCTGAAGGTGGTAGCTGTCAGGAGTGAAGGGAAGGCATTTGCAGATGGCATGATCACATATTCCTCATTTTTTAGGAAACCAGGCTCAAAACAACACAACTTTACTTTATAAATAATAAGATTAATTCTATGAGCTGAGATGGAATGGCATGAAATATCTGCAAAGGGAAAATTATAGTTCTTTCTGGTTCTATTGGGATTGATTCTCAAGTCTGTAACAAGTTTTATCAAATTACTATATTATAAGACTAAGTTCTCCCTGGTTGACAGTGCCCTGTAGGCATCACACTAATATTAGTTATTGTTAGAAGCATCAGTTTTATACAAAGTAATTTGTGCAAGGATTGGTGCAGATTGAACAAAACAATTTTTAAGACTTCAATACGAAAATGTTTTTCTTCCAAATTCCCTTCAAATCCATGTCCACTGCAAATTAAATGTACTCCATCATCTACCATTATTATCCCAGGTTCTAGGTATAGTAAGAGCATGCAATATGCATCACTTGACATTATAAACAGTCCTGACATTATAGTTCTGACATTTGAATCTTTTACATCCTTAAAAAAAAAAAAGAGAGAGAGAGAATGATGTATGAGATTGCTGGTGGTTTGAATATTAAGTTCTTGTATTTATTCATCATTGACACATTAATATGTCACTGTCAGTATCAGTTTTCTCACACCCAGACTTCAGAAAGCCACTTCTCTTAATCTAATGCTTTTCTATTTGAAGCCGATGAGGGTGGTGTCCTTCAGAATTGCCTTTACAATATGTAAAATAAAATGGTTCAATCTAAGCAGCGTGGGCAGCTGTGTTTTGGACTTCTGGTTTTAAACTAATGAAGTGATGGGCTTGGAAAAATGACTACTATCTACGTATACTGACTTTTTTTTTTATAAGGGATTTTAAAAAGAGCATTTTAAATTTGCTTAATTTTTCTGTGTAACTGTAATTATATGAAGTGAATTACCAATTCAAGGTGAGTGTTGTGTTGCATTAAAAAATGATAAATATAAGGAAATTCTTTGCCATATTTTGTTAAGCTAAATTTTAAAGGTGTAGATGACATGCTCATTTTCTACACTTTAATCTAAAAATCATTTAGCAGAAACCTGTGTAATTAAGAAGCAAATATCTTTCCACTTTAATGTAAACACTGTGGCACATAATTTCAAAAATTATTTACCTACAGTGACTCCGCATGTTTGGGACTATGCATGAGTCTATCTAATTTACAATTTTTTTTAAGTTCACTTCCTTTCACTACTAAAGCACAACTTGATAAACAGCTGCTTTAGATAAATGCATCATGGCCACAATTTCTATTGGTCTTATTTTTATAAACTTGTCAGCTGCTCATCAAGTGTATCAGTGGAATATGGTGGCACACAGAAAACCTGTCAAGTGTGAAGCTGCAGCTCATCTTTCTGGACCTGCTTTGTAGTCACAAGGGTAAGCTGTAAGTTGACCTGACTATCAGAATGTCTATTACTAGTTTAATAGACAGCAGGAAAAAGAAGCCCAGTGTTGGATCATGTTATGTACACACCTTAGCAAATACTTATGTGGTTTAGGGCAGTGCTGAGCTGCTGATCCTGAGGGCTGCTAGAGCCCACGGGAGCGATTTTGCCCCACACGGGAGAAAAAAGACATTATAGCAGATGCTCTCAAGAAGTGTCTTTGTCAGCAAGATTGATGCAGACACCAGCTGTGAGTGTCTGTAAAGCTGGACTGCATGCATCATCATCACAGGGGGGTAGGCTTTAATTAAGATGGATGTGCACCGAGAATAGCTAATCATTTTGTCACCATATTCACCTTGGAAAGAATTACAGGTTTTAAATTCACTCTGTGTAGCTGGGTGAGCTTTGCCAATCCACAGGGTAATTGATAGTTTCTTTTCTAATATAAGCTCTTTTAATGTTAAGAAATCCTTATGACTTACACTTTATTGCATCCAAACAGCTAGCAGTAATTAGCCTGACAGTCCCCTTTTTCAAACAATTCCTAATTGTCCTAAAATTATCTCCTTTTCTAGTGGCGCAATATGCTAAGAAAATAAATAGGTACTTTTTTTTTCCTGAGAATATAGGAATTCAAAGCCACAAGTAAATTGCCTGTTTTAGTAGATATGAAATTAGCATTAACAGTCAGGATTAAACCTTATGCTATAGTCATGCATCCATGACAAAATGGGATGATAGCTTGCCATGATGTGGAAGAGATCTCATAGTTGCATTTAATTTTTGCTCTTATGTAAGATTAGCTGTACCATACAGACCATAAAAGCTAAAAACTCAGCTGAACACCCAAAGCTGGAGTTCCCTGTGTGCAAGGGTGTATGTCCATTTACTTGGAGAGATTTCTAGAAGTTTTGCATGATTATAGAACTTGCTGAAGATATCAGGGAGAGATTTTTAAATGCCATGTTGAAAACTTCTGCTAAATACAGTATAATACTCCAAAAAAAAAAAAAAAGGAAATCTATGTAGTTTTACACTGTACTTTTTGACCTGCCGTTATTATAAACCTGACATAAAAAACCCCATAAGTAATGGTCACTCGCCAAGGCAAACAGCTCCAGTGCAGGCACATCACACAGCAGAGCAGGGAATCACTGCAAGCAGGGGGAATTTCTAGAGCCAGGGAAACTGCAGGAGATGGCCAAGAGCCATGTGGAGCTGGCGGCTTTTGCCCTGGAGTGGCTCCCTCAGCATGGGCTGAGTCAGCTGTTCCCACTCTCTCATAAGGGGCCCGTAGGCAGCACGGTGAACAGAGTGGCAACAGGGTGTAATGTGGGAGTTCACACAGGCAGGGCGAGCAAGAAGGGCTCCCCTCCAACCATCTGGGAGCAGCCAACAGAGGCAGCGAACAGACCCAGTAGTTGGTGAAGAAGGGCATAAAGAGATCTTTTTATCCCCAGTCTTACTAGTGCACACCCCCTCAGGTATGGTTCTGACACACTGCAGAGCTCATTCCCCTGTAGCTGCTGGAGTCCCTGCACCAGCCATGCCAGAGGCCTCCAACCAGCCAGACCTTCTGATGGTACATGTAGCTCTCCGAGTCTCTCCTTCAAAGGCAAAGAGCCTTGCAGAGAGATCTCGACAAATGAGAGGGCTGGGCAATCACCAACTGTATGAAGTTTAACAAATGCAAATGCCAGATTCTGCATGGGATGGGCCAAACCTGGATGCACGTACAGACTGGGGAATGAGACGCTGGAAAGCAGTGCTGCAGAAGGGGACCTGGGAGTCCTGGTTTAGGGCAAATTGAATATGAGTCAGCAGTGCCCTGGTAGCCAGGAGGGCCAACCATGTCCTGGGGGGTATCAGGCAAAGTATCACCAGCTGGTCAAGGGAGGGGATTGTCCTGCTCTGCTCTGCACTGGGGCGGCCTCACCTTGAATATTGTGAGCAGTTTTGGTCACCACAATATAAGAAACCTACAAAGCTATTAGAGTGTGTCCAAAGTAGGGCAATGAAGATGGTGAAGGGCCTTGAGGGGAAGTCATATGAGGAGCAGCTGAGGTCACTTGGTCTGTTCAGCCTGGAGGAGACTGAGGGGAGACCTCACTGCAGTAACAAGTTCCCCATGAGGGGAAGCAGAGAGGTAGGAACCAAGCTCTTTTCTTTGGTGACCAGGGATAGGACCTGAGAAAATTACATGAAGCTGTGTCAGAGGAGATTTAGGCTGGATATTAGGAAAAGTTTTTTCATCCAGAGGGTGGTTGGGCACTGGAACAGGCTCCCCAGGGAAGTGGTCATAGCACCAAGCCTGACAGAGTTCAAGAAGGGTTTGGATAGTGCTCTCAGGCCCATGGTGTGATTCTTGGGGCTGCCCTGTGCAGGGCCAGCAGTTGAACTTCAATGGAACTACTTTTATCGTGTTGGACTACATGGACCAACTTGAAAAGTGGTATCTTCTGCTTAGGCCTGTACTGATTTTTGCCTTACATCAGCCATGTGAGAGAAGATTCAGCCATCAAAGATAACTTGGACAGTAATTCTAAAAGTGTTCCTGTGTCACTACTTAATTTCTATTTCCACCTCCTCTGCAGTAGAATCACAAAAGGGTTTAGGTTGAAAGGGACCTTAAAGATCACCTAGTTCCAAACCCCCTGCCATGGGCATGGAACTTTCCACTACACCAGATTACTCAGAGGCTCATCTAGCCTGGTCTTGAACACCTCTGGGGATGGGGAATCCACAACCTGTAAGAAAATTTAAGACAGCTTGCTAGGCAGTTTTTACTGTGCTTACAAACAACACTGCAATGAACACTAGCTTTTAAATTGCTAAACCATCAAATGATGCTGGCTCCAATTTGAAAGTGAGGCCTCATTTTTTCTGTCTCATTTAAAGCTGCACTGTTTAAAAAAACCAAAGATTAACTCACATCCCATGCAAAATACTGGAGAGGCTGGGAGGGAGGTCTGGACAGAGTCACATAACACCCAAAAAGACCACAGGAAAGAAGAAGCAGGGGGAGAAACCTTAAAAGGGAGAGGAGGTAGCAACAATCAGGCCTCATGAAAGGGATATCATGGTGTGACAATCTCTGTCCCTAAGGGACATGTCTAAAAGTCAAAGTCTAAATGTCAGAACATGGGAAAGAGGAAAAGAAGAGACAAAGGCTATGGAGAGGTATGTTCATGTTGTGACTGTTCTGTACCTTGGACAGTACTTGACAACTCAGTTGCTTCTACCAGGGTGCAACAAAACCTTATGCAGAAAGTATACAGTATTTAATCTGAGGGTCTGTCTGAGATTTGGCCTTCCTTGATGCCTTAATGGAATTGCAAAACTTTTCCAACAACACACTGTTGAAGGTAGAGCCCGAAGTGGTCAGACACACTTATCACCTCCCGTGCAAAGGTACAAACCAAAATTGTCTTCTGAAATTGTCTAGCACTCAGAAACAAGCATATTAACCATGTTACAAATAAGAATCTGAAATAGTGATAATCTGCCCAGCAGTTTCTTCTACCTGAGGAGAGGCACTGGTGGTATTGCACCTGATTTCTCAAATAGCAAGGGAACTAACCACTCAAGATATCTTTTGTTTATTCACTGAGAATGTTCAACCATCCAGAAAAACAAAAGCACCTTTCATTGTTTCTGTCTTATTTTCATTAGCCATGCAAGTTAGCAAGGTAGAAATGGGTGCATTGGCATGCAGAATTTTCCATGCTGTGGAAAAACTGTTTATTTAGGAAACAGAGTAAATTCTTCCTCACGAGTCACTAAATGTTCTCTGAATGGCAATTCTCAATAGAGTCTGAGCAACTGATGTAAAGAGAAAATTGTCAATATTTTATTCTCCTATCCCATAAGCCATCTAGTCTTCTGGCTTTTTGAATATACATGGCAATTACAGATTTTTTAGATTTCACCTTTCCTGGAAAACTCAAAGTACACTCAGAATGATAAATTAACATGAACTTACAATCCATTTGTGGTC